ACCCAATAGAAAGATCTTGACATAGTCCAAAACATAAGTATTTGTCAATAATAATTAAAAATAGGATTCTGCTCTATAATCAAGAGCCAGGCTGAATTAAACCCTAGACTTACAGTTGTTTCTTTGTATTTGCCTGTTTTCTTTTTGTTGTCTTATTTTAGGCCTCTGTTAAGTTCAGATTCTGTCCCGCCCCCCCAGGTTTATTTATATTAATGAGTTTTTTCTTCTTTTGAGAAACAATGATTTTTAACAAAATTGCATGCATGCATTTTAATATATTATCCCTCTAGGTGTCATTAATATTAAATCTTGATATGGAACCACTTTTCATCTAAATTTGTTTGAAAGGCATTCTTTGCCCCTAATTTTAAAATCTAGCAAAGGCAATAATACAAGTGGAAAAATAGGAAAACATGCATTAGAGCAGCTGTGCTTTTGGTAGCCTATGACTCTGGTGAAGTTGGCTTTCCTCTTGCCATGATTCTATTTATTTATTTAGTTAGTTAGTTAGTTATCAAGCGATTATAAGGTAACAGGTATAAGTATAAACATAGTTATGAATACATGAAATGGATACATATGAGAGAAATAAAAAGAAACAATAGGACAGGGATGGTAGGCACATTGGTGTGCTTATGCATGCCCCCTACAGACCTCTTAGGAAAGGGGTGAGGTCAATAGTAGACATTCTAAGGTTAAAGTTTTTGGGGTTTGGGGAAGAAACCACAGAGTCAGGTAGAGTATTCCAGACATTGACCACTCTGTTACTGAAGTCGTATTTCCTGCAATCAAGTTTGGTGCGGTTACCTTGAGTTTGTATTTATTGTGTGGTCTTGTATTGTTATGGTTGAAGCTGAAGTATTCATTGACAGGTAGGACATTGCAATGTATCATTTTATATACTATACTTAGATCGGACCGAAGGCGGTGTAGTTCTAGTTTTTCTAGGTCTAGAATTTCATCTCTGGTGGCATAAGGTATTTTGCAATGAGTAGAGGAGTGGAGAACTCTTCTTGTGAAATATTTCTGCACTTTCTCAACTGTATTAATATCAGATATGTAATACGGGTTCCAGACTGATGAGTTGTATTCAAGTATTGGTCTAGCAAATTTTTTGTATTCTGTAGTTAGTAGTGTGATATTACCAGAGAAAAGGCTACATAGGATTAGTTTAACAACTCTTAATGCCTTTTTGGCTATGTAATTACAGTGGACTCTCACACTGAGATCATTAGAAATGAGTACTCCAAGATCCTTGACAGAGTTTGGATCATCAACAAGGTCTTGACTATTCAGCTTGTATTTTATTTTCTGATTATTTTTGCCAATATGTAAGACAGAGCATTTATTTGTTGAGATTTGAAGTTGCCATTTGTTTGACCATTCTGATACATAGTTGAGGTCTTTTTGAAGGGTAGCAGTATTGTCTGTGGTGTTGAATAGCTTTACATCATCAGCAAAGAGAATGCAGTTGCTCTTAATATGATCACAGAGGTCATTTATATAGAGTATGAAAAGAGTTGGTCCTAGAACACTGCCTTGGGGTACACTACTGTTGACAGGTACAGATTTGATAGGACACTCCCAATTTTGACCATTTGTTGTCTGTTTGACAGGAATGCTTCTATCCAGTTATGCAGGTGTCCAGAGATACCATAAGATTTTCATTTTAGGAGTAGTTTGTGGTGTACCACTGAATCAAAGGCTTTACAGAAGTCTATGTAGATTGCGTCTATTGCTTTGCCCTGATCGAGTTGTGTAGTATGTTTTTTCAGTGTAAGAGTTGCGGATTACAGGGTAGTTTTTTTCTGAAACCAAATTGTTTATTAGAGAGTAGGTTGTTTGTCTCTAAATGGAGGATAATGGATTGGTTAATAATTGATTCCATGACTTACAGGACTTTACAGCATAATTCTTGTCAAATAAATCATGATTTGATTTGAAATCAAGCAGTTGATTTGAATACCTTTTTTGTGAATGTTTATGGAACTATTTTGCATACCCCGGTATTATTATTCAGTTACTACTTTTGAAAGGGGCTACTAATAATTTTGAAAATGTTTATTTTTCTATTCAGCAAGCATACTGGTTGGGTCCATACTATTACTAAGGAAATAGGTTTTTATACAAAATGTCCTAAACAATTAAAAACATTTATTTTAAAAGATACACTGAATTGAATGAGACTGACTTCAATATACTGAGTCTTTGGATTTTGTGCCCTTGAATTCATAACACCAGAATATCATTATTATGTTTAATATAGACATTTTCCTCAACTGGAAGAATAATTGTGGCTTAGGTTTGTTTGTTTTGGTAAAGTGCATTAAATTTAAGACTGAAAAAGAATGTTAAAGTTTCAAATACTAGATTTTAGATACCACGGCCTCAGCCTTCTCTTCCTTTATTATTTCCTTTACTTTTAAACACTTTTGTCATAATTCTAAACTTCTGTAAATATTATCTCAGAACAACTTTGTTTGCTTAAACAGAAAGTGGGTTCTCATTACAGCTCCTCTCTAAATTTATAGATTATACCACTTATTTCCAGCAGAATTGAATAAATATCTAATATTTACAGGACATTGCAAAATGTAATGTACATAAACGGAGACCAGAAGTTTTCTTAGTATGTTCATGATTTATTTTAAAAAAGAATGTTAACCAGCTGCTTATCATTTATTTAGGAGTGATGAATCATTTAAAATAGTTACTAACAGAAGTCTATAGAGTTATATTGTCCACCAGTTTTCAATTAGTAAATTTATCAAATTAATTCCTAATTATCCATGAAGTCAATGGGGTTTTAAATGATTTTCTCAAAAAAGAGGGAGAGAGAGAGAGAAAGAGACTGAGACTTTTCATTATGTATTCTCTGTGTGTATGAACTGTATACACACACAAACATACACACCCAGAGTTTATCTATAAAGTCTATGACTATCTATCTCTATATCTAATAATGGATTTTTATAAAAATGCTTACATGCCAATAACTCTGCTGTGGGCTCTGTATTGGTTAGCAATACAATTTAAAATAGTGTATGATTTAACCTAGAAATCCCTCTATACCTTGGCCCCTTTCAGAACCATCTGTTATTTCAATATGAATATGAACAAATCATATTGAGTTGCTTTGTTACATAACATTATTTTCTTAAATTGAGTTGAACCACTTTGCTAGCAGAAAAACACCTTTGATTAAATCTGTGGGCATCCAGTACAATTTACAATGATAGTGAACAAAATCATGATGTTGTCATGCAAGTGATGTCAATTCTGTAATAATGCTAATACATAATTTGTGATATTTGTGCATAGATATTACAATCCATATGATATCCTGTGCCACACCCCTCCCTTTGACATACATGGCTACATTCCCATAATTTTCAGCCAGTCAAAATCTTCATGGCAACTCTTTTGAAATATGAGTGTTTTTATTATTTGTTTTGTTTTGTTTTTGGTATATTAATATATATATAATTAAGCAAGAATGTGCTTTTATATATGCATAAAAGTTCATTTAGTTCTGTGTTCTAAATATCCATGTTAACATCTTAAAATGTTGTTTTAAAATACAGTGTGTTTGATAATAATCATGCAACTCGCACCCACAATAACCCTCATTTATTGTCTTTCATTTTTAAAATTGTAACCTGCATGATATTTTACAACCCTTTAAAATATTATAACAAACTAATGATTTTGTCTGGCTTTCTTTTTTTTCATAACATATTTCGTTATGATATTATGCTGTTTTCTAAATGAAAATGGATTTTACATTTGGATGTCTGCTAGCAAGGAATTAAAACAGGGATGTTCCAGTCAAAACAACATTTCTGCAGAGATAGATTGGTAAGTTTAAGGATGTGTTTATAGCAGCAAATCGATGTTTTTAACTTAAATTATTAGGTTCTTTTTCTAAATAATGTATGTACTTATTGATATTTAGCAGGCACTGCCCTTTGTGCAAAATGGGTGGCTAGCGGATTGTAGTTACCCCAAATGAACTCAAGCCTGATGTGGATAGGAAGAAATATTTTGAAACAAACAAATAAATGGAATTTAGAATTTACGAATATTTTAGTAATCAAATGAAAGCAGTCCGGATTCTACATCAAAAAGGAAATTTTATTTTAAACTGAAATGCTTTATAGGTTATACATTGGTTGTATTTACAAGGTATACTGCAGCAAAACGAACTCTGTTCTCTCCTCTCTGTTTTCAGGGTCTATTAGACATTCTGTCACATTTAAAAAATAAAATAAAAAAATAGTATTGAGAGAACAAAGCAATTAAATAAACTCTTCCTCCACTTCATGGCAGATCTGTGTCTCACAATTAAAGTAATATACAACCGTTACCATTATTCCAATACATGACCTTAAGTATTCCTTAAATTTTCCTTGAGTTATATAAATCTACAGGATTTCATGGAGAAAAATTGTTAAGAACATAGAAAAATGTATGAATATGTATTGCTTATGCATGTATTTGAAGAAGCCATGGTTGACTTCAATTCTGAAAACAAAGACAAGAGCATAGCTGCTACTTGCAGCATACAAACAAGCAAAAAAAGAAAAATATCTCAATTTTTTTGGGGGGGGGTGGGGAAACAAAGGTAAGAACTGCTCCTAGCCATTTTATTTTATGCCTACTATTCAAATGAGTAATGCATGAAGAACAATAATGAGTTCCATACAAAGATAAACTAGTCACTTATGACATTTGATGTGACTGCAGTATTTGATAGGAACGTGAGCCATGGATGACTTCATGCATTATTACCTGAAACATCTAATCAGTTTCTTAACTCTAGAGTATCTCCCTCCCGCTCTTCTCTCATAAATCAAAATATTTTGAATTCATGAGAACAATAATTCCAGAGTGTTAATTTGGATTTGGAGGGAGAATAGCTTGTTCAGATAAGGTTTTCTCTCCCCCCACCCCCGAAATAAATACATAAATTCATTCCCTTTGTTGCTATAATTTTTCAGGTCACTTATTATTTGGGTGAATCGAAGCTTACCTTTGTGGGGATTACAGGTAAAGTATACTTTCATTTTTACAGATTTTTACATATGTTTAATAACATTTTGGAGTAAAAGATGGGTACTTATTATCAGAAAGGCAAATTAATGAGTGCAAAGGTCCTCCTACAAATATATATTCTATATTTTATGTTTTTCACTGCAGAAATTTAGGATAATGATTATTATGATTATTAGTCAAGAAGATATCTACCTTGTTTAAAGGCTATTCGCAATACTAGTTTTTTTAAAAATCCCAATCAATGTGTGCACTTATAATCAAATTTTGTACCTGACAGCCATGCACATGGGAGTGAGAGTAATGCTGGCATAACTGTATGGGAGCTTTATCTGAATGAACCTGTAGCAATCAATAATCTGTGCAGCTTCTCTCTTTCTCTCTCACGTGTTCACACCTACTGGTAGCAAACATTTTACCTCTAATTTAAGGAATGGATTGCAATTGCTAAACAAGGAGAGGATATACTCAACCTATGATCATTCATTCACTAATTATTTGAAGTATGACAGAACCAAACAGATGGTGGTTACAACTGATCCTCCAAGTTCTACCTGTCACAGTCCTACATCACATAACTGAGAACTGGTTGCCTGGCTACCTGTTCACACTTACAACTGGTTGCCAAATACCTGCAATCACCTTCCCTGCTGCTTTACCCAGAAATTCAATTTCCTGATTTGTGCTGTACTGTATTTTGCACATCCTCCTTGACCCATCTGGTGCCTCTCATATACCCTTCACAACCCATTCCAGGATTCTTACACAATGCCTGACCCTCTTGTGTACCCTTCTTAGTTAAGATCTCTAGGATTCATTCATACTGCTTTGTTTCTTTTATTTTAGTGAAAATGACACAAATTCTTGTGAACAATACCAGATTTTTACTGAATTAGCTTGCAACAATTATTAGTCTCATTTGCAAATCAGTATATGACTATAATACCATTAACTTTGAAATTTATTGGCACCCACCATAGAAGAGATCCTGTCTTACTAGTTAATACAACAGGTCCACATCCTAGCAAAGTTTCAATACTTTACAGTTTCGGAAGAAAGCAACATTCTCTTGGGGAAATGCTTCTGTGTCATCAAAGTTTCACCATCTCAATAAACTTTACAGAGTCAATGAAGGTATATTCTTGTTCCAGTTTTTAGCACCTGATTCTATTACAATGAAAGCAATTTTATTCCTAACATTAATAGCAATTTTTGTCCAGGTTAAGGTCAGAAGATTAGACAAATATAACCTGTCTCCTTCTTTTGCTTCAGTTCATATTGCCAACTGTTAAACATGTATGGCTAAATACCATAATTTTGTAGCAGAAAATAGACTCAATCCAATCTCATTCACAAATTAAAGGAAACAGTACAATTTTTTTCTAACAGAAGCAGCACAATTTGCCAAGCAGGAATTATTTTCAGCTCACCATTCAGCTTCATCCATTTGTTTATCCCTTTTGTTACTCCTATAGTCCTACTGAACTAAGGGCCACCAGACTTTCAGAGGGAAAAAGCATCCTGTTGGTGCTCAGAAATTTTCATTATATGTTAGCAACATCTGACTCAGTTCAGCAGAACTACAGGTATCAGACAATCTTTGACCTTGATCCTCCTGTATATTTATCATTTGAAGATCATTTGGCTCACTTTCAAGGTATTTGGACTTCTATAGTTAAGAACTTTGGGATTATGTTGGTTGTTTCATAAGGTTATAGGTTTTATACCGAGTTCACCAAAACACCCTGTAACTTCTAAAGATTTCCAGAATTATGTTCGATGGCTTCCCCCTCTCTATACGACATAGAGAATATTCACCAGAAATAGTGTTAAAAAAGCAGGGTCAAACCTGTATTGAACATTTGCCATCAAAAATATTTTTTTAAATGCTCGTATTTCAGTATGGTATTCATTACTTCCATTCTCTCACATGAATAACACTTTGGCAATGAGACCCTTCCCTCTCACAGTTCTGATAATAATTAATACCGTCTTTCTCAGAAAATAAGACCGGGTCTTACTTTCTTTTAGACTTGAAAATAAGCAGCAGGGAAGACTTGATGAGCTGGACGCCTTGTGGATGCACCGTCACCTCCATTCCAAACCTTCAGCATTCAGAATGGAGGCTTTTTGGCGAACAGGAGAAAAATGGGGAGGGGGAATTTTCCTGCCTGGCATCCTTCCCTCAGTCTGTGCTGAGCTTGAAGAATAGATGACAGGCAGGAAAATTCCCCCTCCCCATTTTCCTCCCGTTCACCAAAAAGCCTCTCGCGAGCCTCCCAAAAAGAGGGAAAAAGCAAAGCAGCTGGCTGTGGAGCTGCCGGCTTTCGGGAAGCAACCCAACAAGCAGAAGTGCTGCGCCCAGAAATAGAAGGGCCATGCCCATCCCTCAGGCTTATTTTTGGGGTAGGGATAGGCTCACCCCCCCAAATTAAGGTTGGGCTTAGTATTGGGGTGGGTCAAGTTTTCGGAGAAACATGGTTGTAGTAATGACAAATGCTACTGTTGTTACAGCTCCATGTATAGCAGGTATATTTCAGATCACCTTCTCAACAAGAATAAAAGCCCATGTAATTATCCACATGACAGCTACAATATCAGATCTCACTTGGCTCATCTTCAAATATATCCTAATGGGCAGAGTGTTGCTATTCTATTTTTTCAGACTCAGAAAATTTCTGTTCCTCCTTGATTTTACCTAGTATCAAGGCATTTTACTAGAGTTAATTCCCTTCACAACTCCAACATATCTCTTTACCATCAGTGTTTTCATATGTGGATGGGGAGTTCACTTCACAACCATTTTCATCGGAGCTACTTGGTTCAGGCACAAGCTTTTCATAATGGAAGGCATTATAAGATTCTGAAGGCTATCCTGATAGCCAGATTTATCAGGTGATAACATAATTCAGTCCAGTACAGAATAACAGAGTTCGAAGGAACATTCAAGGTCTTCTAGGCTAATCCTCTGATCAAGCAGAAGACCCTATAACTTTCCAGACAAATGGCTGTCAAATCTCTTGTTAAAAACCTTCAGTGATGAAGCATCCACAGCTTCTAAAGGCAAGCTGTTCCACTGAATATATTGTCAAACAAGTTCTCACTGTCACACAATTTCTCTTCAGTTCAGGTTGGTTCTCTCTTTGATAAGTTTCTATCCATTACTTCTTGTCCTGCCTTCAGGTGCTTTGGAGAATTTGCTTCTCTCTTCTTCTTTAACAAAATTTTATTTGAGTTTTCACACACACAAAAAAGAAAAATAGAACATCTTGTTTTAGCGAACAGCATGGTTCCAGGTTTTCACATCTCCATACAGATATAATCTCAGTTACATACTCATCTTTCATATATAATTTCATATCTTACCACTACTTTATATATTCTCTATTGATTTTTTTCTCTCAAATACTTCCCTTAGGCTTATTTTATAGCTTTCTCATTCACTTCTAAATCTATTTCATTTCCTTTTCAAAATGTTCATATCTTCCTAATAATTATACTTGTACTTTTATCTGTCCTGTTTACAATTTCATTACATATTTTTATTTAATCATTTCCCAAAAAATCCCTCCTCATTACAAATATTACAAAACAAGGTTTCCCCTATAGTTGCCAATTAGAATGTGTCACCTTCATATCTTATAATTAGTTCCCTTTCAAATCCCATTAAACATTCAGATTTTAAATTGTCCCCTTAAGCAGTAATAACATTCAACTCCTAATAACTATATTATAACATATATCCCTTTTCAGTCTGATTCCGCATGGTACTTTCCCCTAAAGTTACCCCAATATACTTTAAAATTCAAAAGAAAGAAAACAAAATAATTAATCTGTTCAAATTCATCCTAGAAACTGATATTGATCTCATTACAATAATTCTCATAATTCATTTCAATTATATTTTATAAGTCATTAAATATAATTAATATACATATTTTCATACCTCTCTTTTCACCATATATTCTTCTTACAATAATTCTCATAATTCATTTCAATTAGATTCCATACATTAATTAATATACTTCCCATATTTTCCCTTCTTTCACCTTTATTCCATTTATCTCTATATTTGATTTGATTGTTAACACATTCCATTAATAATACCAGTGTCATCTTCCATTTTAATAATGTATATTTTCCTATTTTCTACATAGTTTATTATTTCTAATATATTTATACTATCCCTTGTCACCTTGCAGTATCCTCTCTCTTAATTTTTGTTTTTAACCAGTGTCACTGTATCTTTTAAACAAACTACTCTGCTCAAAAAATAAAGGAAACACAAAAATAAGACGTCCTAGATCTGAATGAATGAAATATTCTTATTAAATACTTTGTTCATTACATAGTTGAATGTGCTGACAACAAAATCACCCCAAAATTATTTGGAGTTACACTCAAAATTAAAGTGGAAAAAAAACACTACAGGCTGATCCAACTTTTATGTAATGTCCTTAAAACAAGTCAAAATGAGGCTCAGTAGTGTGTGTGGCCTCCACGTGCCTGTATGACCTCCCTACAATGCCTGGGCATGCTCCTGATGAGGTGGTGGATGGTCTCCTGAGGGCTGTCCTCCCACACCTGGACTAAAGCATCCCCCAACTCCTGGACAGTTTGTGGTGCAACATGGCATTGGTGGATGGAGCGAGACATGATGTCCCAGATGTGCTCAATTGGATTCAGGTCTGGGGAACAGGCGGGCCAGTCCATAGCATCAATGCCTTCATCTTGCAGGAACTGCTGACACACTCCAGCCACATGAAGTCTAGCATTGTCTTCATTAGGAGGAACCCAGGGCCAACCGTACCAGCATATGGTCTCACAAGGGGTCTGAGGATCTCATCTTGGTACCTGATGGCAGTCAGGCTACCTCTGGCGAGCATATGGAGGGCTGTGCAGCCCCCTAAAGAAATGCCACCCCACACCATTACCGACCCACTGCCAAACCGGTCATGCTGGAGAATGTTGCAGGTAGCAGAACGTTCTCCACGGCA